ATGTGCTGTTCCACTGCAAGATTTTATCAGTGAGCTGCTGCACCGAAAAAAGCACCTCCATACCACCTGTTCCACTGCAAGATTTTATCAGTGAGCTGCTACGCCTAGAAAAGCACCTCCATACCATGGAAAGCAATGAAAAAAGAGAAAGGGAAAAGAAAAAAAGAAAAAAAAGAAAAAAGAAAAAAAGAAAAAAATCCAGCTTCTTTTCCATTCTGCTTCTGGAATTTACTCTCTTAGAAGCTGACTTTGCAGGCCCTGAGGAGATCATGTTACTCTAAACAAAGCTGGAATAGGCGACTTATTGTTCTGGGCCACTGGCATTCCCCTTCCTCAGCCGTTGCCCCAAGAAATAACAAGCCGCTTAAACAGGGCTCCCTTGTGGAACTGGCAACAGCTTGGGTTTCCCTTTGAAAGTCCCTGGCACCAGGGCACCTCAGAGCCAGGTAATGTTAGTAGGAAAGCAGAGTTAATGCAAAACAAGGCAAGCCTGTGGGGAGGGGAGAAGGCTCTTCTGCAGGGTGAAGGACAGCAGCAATGTAGAAGGCTGAGATCCAGGGCTCGGCCAAGCCCCACGGGCAGCAGACTACTCATCTAGGGACTCGACCATCAGAGGTAGGGTCTCAAACCCACACTTGCAGCTGAGCCATGGGGGCAGCAGTCAGCACGGAGCTCACATCTGCTGGTGCAACCCTTCTTCACCTCTCTGGGACAACACTGGGTGGAGGAGCCTGGTTATAGAATCACAGAATGGTTTGGGTTGGAAGGGACCTTGAAAGATCACCTAGTCCAAGCCCCCTGCCCTGGGCAGGGACATCTTTCCCTGGATCAGGTTGCCCAAAGCCCCATCCAACCTGGCCTTGAACACTTCCAGGGATGGGACATCCACAGCTTCTCTGGGCAACCTGTTCCAGTGCCTCACCACCCTCATCATAAAGAATTTCTTCCTTGTATATAATCTAAATTATATATAATCTAAATATATATATATATATATAATCTAAATACCCTCTTCTAGTTTAAATCGTTACCTCTTGTTCTATCACTACAGGCCCTGGTAAATGTCTCTCTCCATCTTTACAAGACCCCTTTAGGTACTGAAAGGCAACAATAAGGTGTCCCCGGAGTCTTCTCCAGGCTGGACAACCCCAACTCTCTCATCCTGTTTCCAGAGGAGAGCTGTTTCGGGCGTTTCATCCCTATTGAAAGGAGGCACCCCCCCCTCTAAAGTCCTCACCACATCAGCTCCACCAGCTTTCCAACCACCAGAGCCTCATCCAGAGACCTAGATGTCCCCCGGGGCAGCCTCCCTGGACCACCCAAAACCACTCGTGGGCTACTGATGCAGCAGGGATGCTTTGCCCCCCATCCAAACCCCCTCCATCCCACCGCAACCACCACCTCCCCATCCTCCAAAACTTCTTTCTGCTTAATTATCCGGATGTAAATAAACGGGAAGGTTTTTTGGGGGGGGAGAACCAAGGAAAGGCTTCCGTGACTCCGGTTCCACGCCCCCATCCGCTTGAAAGTCCCTGGCACCAGGGCACCTCAGAGCCAGGTAATGTTAGTAGGAAAGCAGAGTTAATGCAAAACAAGGCAAGCCTGTGGGGAGGGGAGAAGGCTCTTCTGCAGGGTGAAGGACAGCAGCAATGTAGAAGGCTGAGATCCAAGGCTCGGCCAAGCCCCACGGGCAGCAGACTACTCATCTAGGGACTCGACCATCAGAGGTAGGGTCTCAAACCCACACTTGCAGCTGAGCCATGGGGGCAGCAGTCAGCACGGAGCTCACATCTGCTGGTGCAACCCTTCTTCACCTCTCTGGGACAACACTGGGTGGAGAAGCCTGGTTATAGAATCACAGAATGGTTTGGGTTGGAAGGGACCTTGAAAGATCACCTAGTCCAAGCCCCCTGCCCGCCCCGCTGCAGGTGGGGGCTGAACCCGGGGTTTGGGGGACGGGGAAAGCGGCGGTGCTGAAGGTGGCGGGGATTTAGAGGTAGGGTCTCAAACCCACACTTGCAGCTGAGCCATGGGGGCAGCAGTCAGCACGGAGCTCACATCTGCTGGTGCAACCCTTCTTCACCTCTCTGGGACAACACTGGGTGGAGGAGCCTGGTTATAGAATCACAGAATGGTTTGGGTTGGAAGGGACCTTGAAAGATCACCTAGTCCAAGCCCCCTGCTGTGGGCAGAGACATCTTTCCCTGGATCAGGTTGCCCAAAGCCCCATCCAACCTGGCCTTGAACACCTCCAGGGATGGGGCATCCACAGCTTCTCTGGACAACCTGTTCCAGTGCCTCACCACCCTCATCATAAAGAATTTCTTCCTTATACATAACCTAAATATACCCTCTTCTAGTTTAAATGGTTACCCCTTGTTCTATCACTACAGGCCCTGGTAAATGTCTCTCTCCATCTTTACAAGACCCCTTTAGGTACTGAAAGGCAACAATAAGGTGTCCCCGGAGTCTTCTCCAGGCTGGACAACCCCAAGAATTTCTTCCTTATACATAACCTAAATATACCCTCTTCTAGTTTAAATGGTTACCCCTTGTTCTATCACTACAGGCCCTGGTAAATGTCTCTCTCCATCTTTACAAGACCCCTTTAGGTACTGAAAGGCAACAATAAGGTGCCCCCGGAGTCTTCTCCAGGCTGGACAACCCCAACTCTCTCATCCTGTTTCCAGAGGAGAGCTGTTTCGGGCGTTTCATCCCTATTGAAAGGAGGCACCCCCCCCTCTAAAGTCCTCACCACATCAGCTCCACCAGCTTTCCAACCACCAGAGCCTCATCCAGAGACCTAGATGTCCCCCGGGGCAGCCTCCCTGGACCACCCAAAACCACTCGTGGGCTACTGATGCAGCAGGGATGCTTTGCCCCCCATCCAAACCCCCTCCATCCCACCGCAACCACCACCTCCCCATCCTCCAAAACTTCTTTCTGCTTAATTATCCGGATGTAAATAAACGGGAAGGTTTTTTGGGGGGGGAGA